CAAAAAAAGATAAGCAGGAAAGAATGAACAGGAAAGGAGACTTGTCAATGAAGGATGGTAAAACAGAGCAACCAAGGGCTTCTTTGGAGCTTGACAGTTGCCCAGCAGGCTGTTGAAAACAGCATGTGTTACCTAGAGGTGACTGACGTAGGAATATGTGAAAGGAGATACCTTTCAAGGAAGAAATGGAGGGATGGAGATGGAAACTGGAAGGCAGCCTCCCCATGAATATACAGGTCCTAGGAGGTAATAAAGAATATCAGGATTGACTGTATTACCTGTCTGAAGAACTTACCTGAGTACTAAGGGTCAACATAATTTGGATGATCAAGTCTACAAACAAGTTTTTCCTGAGTGTCATACAGATCTTTTAATATATAGAGAAAACTGGTGTATGGAGAGAAGAGAAAGAGAAAGAAAGAAAGAGAGAGAGAGAGAGAAAGAAAGTAAGTTAGATGATAGAGTGTTGGTTTTGTTTCTCTGTAGAACTCTATAACAGAAGCAGTGGCACATGGTAAGGACACAAGAGATATTGAGTGTAATCATGCTGTTGTTCTTACAATAACCCCCAACTTCAGCCCACTCACCAGCACCACAGAAGGGGCTGGGCTCACCAGATGGAAGACCTCTACCTCCATAGCCCAAGGCCTGAGCTTGCTGATCCTCAGGGCTCCCACCCCCACCTCCTGGACTGTCACAGCTGCGAGAAGTTTGGCTTTGTTGCTCCAAGGTAGCACCCTCCAAAAAGCCCTTATTCTCCTCTCTCTGGTTTCCATACTCACTTCTTCAGCCTCCCCATTTTCCTGCCCATCAAATCTGGCAAAAGAAAGGGTCTTATTTTCAAAGTGACTAATGGTCAAGAAGGGATGGTAATTGGGTCTTTGTTTTCAATGTGGAAAGGAGAAAATATAGGAAGTGCAAATAAACAAGTAGGCAAAATACCATCCAAATCTACCATTCAGAGAAAATGGAAAGTTTGTATTGGGATGCCAACTTCAGATAGGGCAGGAATGACCTTATAGTAGGACCAGAAGGACAGAGAACTGGATGACAGTTGTTCAGATTAGGGCTCTATCTCTCTCTAGTCCTTCTTTTGGTCCCCACTCCCCACTCTGGCCTTGAAGTATCTGAATACTTCTTAGTTGGACAATCCCAACTTTTGTCCCACTCCACCTCCACTTTATGAAAAATCATACCACACCAAAGATGTTCGAGATGTACTGCATGCTGAACTGCTGGCTCTTGGGTGGCCAGTACTGCAAGAAAGTGTCCACATCCACCTGCAGTTGCTTCTGCTCCTCCTCCCCAAAGTGCATCACATGGTTCTGCAGATCATCCACGGAGACCAGGCAGCCCTCTGTGAGCCCAGTACCCTCTCTTTCCACCCGCCACATGATGCGTGCAGCCAGCCTGTGGAGAGGGACAATGTTAAGGAGGCTACACTGCATTCATTCATTCTACGAACAATTACTGAGTGCCAAATACCTGTCAGGTACAGTGTCAGGCCCAAGATTCTAGACAGATAGAATTTCTTCTATCATGAAGCTTCTTATAGTGGGGGAGACATGTTAAAAAGAACATTTAGGTTAACTATAATTACCATGTTTTGAAAGAGCAGGCAGGAAGGCAAGGTTGGTAAACACTGTGCTTGCCTCTTCTCATGACCACATTAAAATACATCTAAATTATAGAACAATCAACCTGGAGAACATCTAAGAGTAACTGAACAGAAGTCCTACAACTGAGGATATAAAGAAGAAGCCACATCAAGACTGGTAGGAGGGATGGAGACATGAAATGGGCTGGCCCCACACTTATGTATGGCAGTTGAGAAATGGGAGAGATGCCTCAGCTTTGGAGATTCTCTCAAGGAGTAAGAAGTCCCAGCCCCACACCAGGTTCCCCAGCCCAGAGAACCAGTGCCAGGAAGAGGAGCCCTCATAATATCTGACTGAAAAACAGGGGATTCCATCTGTCAGAGAGAGATAGAAGGCTGTTGGAAACCCAGGCATCCACCCAAAGGACCTGAGCACAGACTCACTCATTCGTAGGCACTTACTCAGGGCTCCAGTGAAGGGACAGCAGCTTGAGAGGTGCCAGAGACATACAAGGAGAGACTGGGTTGTATGGCTTCATAGTGAGAGCCGAAGGTACAGCCATGATTGTCCTTGTGTTGAGCCATCCTCCTATGCAGCCTATGTGAGGGCTCCATCATTCCTGTGTTGAACCCTTTCCCCACACAACCAAATATGTATGTGCATTGGCCTGGTAAAATCTGCCCACTCAGACCTGGTGATCCCCTGGAATCCTGCCCCACTGAATTTGCATACCACTGGAGGCACTGTTGGCAGCAGGCAGCCAGCCGGGGCCCACAAACTGCAGGAGGCTCTTTCATTAGCAAGGAGCTGGCCTTGGCTCGTGCACCACCTGAGACACATTTGCCATTGGGCATCAAGCCCAGGCCCCACTGCAGTCTTTCTGAGACAACTGTTGGAGGTCCCCAAACCCAGACAGGCAGCAGCTGGCCTTGGTGTGCTCTGAGCCTTTTGCCAAGTGTCCCCAGTCCAGGCATTGGCACCAAACCTGAATCTGCATTAAGCTGGTGAACACCACTAACCACCCTTCCCACTCTCCATGAATCCCTGAGACTCTACCACACCCAACTCACATACTGCCAGAGGCTCTTTCAATGGCTGAGACTTACAGGCACCCAGCAGGTGGCGGCGGTCCTCAGGGTGCCCTGAGCATTTTGCTGAGCTGCCCAAGTCTCAGCACTGGTGGCAACCAACCTTGGTTCACAGCGTGCCTACTCCCACAAGTCTCCAAGTCCAGCAGAGGCAGCAAGGAACTACAGATCATTTTGTAGCTTTACCAGGTAGCCCCAGCTGGTGACAGGTAATGGCTGACCATGGAATGCATAAGAGCCCCTACCAAGAGGCCCCAGAACTGATACACCTGGAGGCCAGCTTCAGACAACAGCAGAGCACCACCCAATTAGCTCTACAAGCATCACACCCAAAGGGTGGTCTGGGCAAGCACTAGAGCCCACTACGGTGAATCTCACTCCACAGGGTAAGCTTCCTTATAGCAGCTTATAGGCTGTGATCATGGCCAATCCTCACAGACAGTCAGTCTGAGGGTCATTCCCATTCACTGACATGCCAACAGAAAGCAAGGCTTAGCTACAACAGAATGGCACACACAGTCCACACTAGGGACACTCCTGAAACATCAGGCTCAAGGTGATCAGGAAGACTGAGCCACTGGGCCCTACAGGCCACCTACTACCTAAGGCCACCCTGTCAAGAGTAGGAGACATAGCAGATCTACCTAATACATAGAAACAAACACAGAGAGGCAGCCAAAATGAGACAAAGAAACATGTCCCAAATGAAAGAAAAGGACAAAACACCATAAAAAAGAGCTAAACAAAATAGAGGCAAGAAATCTACCAGATACAGAGTTCAAAACACCACTTATAAACATGTTCAAGGAACGTAGTAAGAACTTCAACAAAGAGATAGAAAGCATTAAAAAGGTCACAGAAACCATAAAAACAAAAGTCAGAAATGAAGAATACAATAACCAAAATTAAGAATACACTAGAAGAATCCAACAGCAGATTAAATGAAGCAGAAGATCAAATCAGTGATTTGGAAGATAAAGTCTCAGAAAACACACAATCAGAAAAGAAAAAAGAAAAATATCTTAAATGAGGATAGTTTAAAGGACCTCTGGGACACCATCAAGTGTACCAGAAGGAGAAGAGAGAGAGCAAAGAATTAAAAACCTATTTGAAGTAACAATAATAGAATCCTAATCTGGTGAAAGAAATAGACCTACAAACCTAGGAAGCACAGAGTCTCAAACAAGATGATCCCAAAGAGGCACAAATCAAGACATATCATAATGCCAAAGGTTAAAGACAAGCAGAGAAACTTAAAAGCAGCAAGAGAAAGGCAGTTAGTTACCTACAAGGGAGATCCCATAAGACTATTAGCTGATTTCTCAACAGAAACATTGCAGTCCAGAGGAATTGCCACAAAATATTCAAAGTGATGAAAAGCAAAGACCTACAACCAAGACTACTCTACCCAGCAAGGCTTCATTTTAAAATTAAAGGACCGATAAAGTGCTTCCCAGACCAAAACAAAAGCTAAAGGAGTTCATCACCACCAAACTAGTATTATAAGAAATGTTGAAAGGACTTCTTCAAAAAGAAGTGGGAGAAAAAAAGAACATAAATGTAAATAATAAAATGTAAATAACTACACATCTATCAATAATCACTTAAATGGATTAAATGTTCTTATCAAAAGATATAGTATGGCTGAATGGATAACATAAACCAGACCAATGCATATGCTGTCTACAAGAAACACACTTCAAATTAAAAAAGAAAAAAAAAGAAGAAGAAAAAAAAAAACCACACACAGACTGAAAGTAAAAGAAAGGAAAAAGATACTTCGTGCAAATGGAAATTTTAAAACACTGAAGTAGCAATACTTATATCACACAAGATAGACTTTAAAACAAAGGGTTTAACAAGAGATAAAGAATGACATTACATAATGAAAAAATGATCAATCCAACAAAGAGGATATAACTTGTAAACATTTATGTACCAAACATAGGGGCACCTAAATATATAAAGCAAATACTGACCAACCTAAACGGAGAGACTGATAGTAATACACACATATTAGGGGACTAGAACACTCCATTGACACCAATAGACAGATCTTTCAGACAGAAAATCAACAAAGAAATAGCATCTTTAGATAACACACTTGATCAGATGGATTTCCTTGATATTGGATTTTCTTCACTGCAAAGAAGCAGAATATACATTCGTCTCAAGTGCACATGGAGCATTTCCCAAAATAGACCACATGTTAGGACACAAAACAAGTCTCAGTAAATTTTAGAAAACAAATCATATCAAGCATCTTCTTTGACCACAGTAGAATGAAACTAGAAACCAATCACAAGAAAAATACTAAAAAATACACAAACACATGAAGGCTAAATAACATGCTGATAAACAATGAATGGGTTAATAATGAGATCAAGGAAAAGATCAGAAAATACTTTGAAATAAATGAAATAAAAATACAACGACCTCAAATTTATGGGACACTACAAAAGCAGTTCTAAGAAGGAAATTCATAGCAATACAGCCCTGTCTCAAAAAGGAAGTTTCAAATCAACAATTTAACCTTACGCCTAAAAGGAACTAGAAAAAGAAGAACAAGAAAAGCCTAAAGTGGGTAGAAGAAAGAAAATAATAAAGATCAGGGTGGAAATAAACAAAATATAGTCTAAGAAATCAATATAAAAGCTTAATGAAACCAAGAATTGGTTCTTTGAAAAGATAAACAAAATTGATAAACCATTAACCAGAGTCATCAAGAAAAAAAGAGAGAGGATCTGAATAAATAAAATCAGAAATGAAAGCAGAGCAGTGAAAATTGACACCACAGATATACAAAAATTATAAGAAAATACTACAAGACGCGGTTCCATAGTGTAGTGGTTAGCACATCTGCTTTACACAGGAGATCCTGGGTTCGCACCCCAGTAGAGCCACAGTCCATGATCTACGGCCATGCCACCCTGAACAAGCCTGATGTCTGATCTCAGAAGCTAAGCAGGGTCGGACCTGGTTAGTACTTGGATGGGAGACCATCTAGGAAGACCAGGTGCTGTAGGCATAAATAATAATAAATATAAAAAAAGAAAGAAAGAAAATACTACAAATAGTTATATGCCAACAAATTGGACAATCTGGAAGAAATGGATAAATTCTCAGAAACATGCAATCTTCCAACACTGATTCAGGAAGAAACAGAAAATCTGCACAGATGGATTATTACAAACTAAATCAAGTCAGTAATCAAAAACCTCCCTACAAACAAAAGTCCTGGACTAACTGGCTTCAAAGAAAGATTAACGCCTATACTTCTCAAACTATTCCAAAAAAATTCAAGAGGAAGGAAGGCTCCCAAACTCATCTATGAGGCGACATTACACTGATTTCAAAATCAGACAGAGATATTACAAAAAAAAGAAAATTATTGGCCAAGATCTCTCATGAATGGACATGCAAAACTCAACAAAATATTAGTAAGCCTTATTTAGCAGTACATTAAAAATATCATATACCATGTGGTATTTATTCCTTGGATGCAAGGTTGGTCTGACATTTATAAATCAATTAATGTGATAAACCACATAAACAAAATGAAAGATAAAAATTATATGACTATATAAATAGATACAGAAGAAGTATTTGACAAAATCCAACGTCCATCTATGATAAATACTCTCACCATGTGAGAACAGAGGGAACACATCTCAACATAACAACAACCATATATGACAAATACAGCTAACATCATACTCAACAATGAAAAGCTAGAAGCTTTTTCTTTAAGATCGGAAACAAGACAAATATGTCTATTTTCTTCACCTCCGTTCAACACAGCATGCAAATCCTAGCCACAGAAATCAGACAAAAAAAATAAATAAAGCCATCCAAATTGGAAAGAAAGAAGTAAAACTGTCATTATTTGCAGATGGCATAATACTACATTTAGAGAACCCTAAAGAGTCCACCAAAAAACTATTAGAGTTGATAAATTACTTCAGTAAAGTAGCCGTTTACAAAATCAGTATTCAGGAATAGGGTGCATTTTTATATACCAATAATGAACTATCAAAAGGAGAAATTAAGAAAACAATCCCATTTACAATTGCAAAAAAAAAAAGAAAGAAAGAAAAGAAAACCTAGGAATAAATTTAACCAAAGATCTGTATTCATAAAATTATAAAAAATTAGAAAAAGAAATGGAAGAAGATACAAATAAATGGAAACATATACTGTGCGCATGGATGGAACAATTAATATTGTTAAAATTACCACAATATCCAAAGCAATCTATAGATTCAGTACAATCCCTATCAAAATACCAATGACATTTTTCCTAAAATGTATATGGAACCACAAAAGACCCCAATTAGCCACAGCAATCTCAAGAAAGAACAAAGTTGGAGGTATCACACTACCTGATATTAAACTATACTACAAGACTATAGTAATCAAAACAGCACGGTACTGGCATAAAAACAGATATATAGATCAATGGAACAGAACAGAGAGCCCAGAGATAAACCCATGCCTATATAGTCAATTAATCTATGACAAAGGAGGCAAGAATAACAGCAAGGTAAAAAGAGTCTCTTCAATAAATGGTGTTGGGGAAACTGGACACATATGTGCAAAAGAATGAAACTGGATCTCTTTATTATACCATATACAAGAATAAACTCAAAATAGATTAAAGACTTAAATGTAAGACCTGAAACCATAAAACTCCTAAAAGGAAACAGGCAGTAAACTCTCTGACAATGCTCTTAGTAGTATTTTCTCTGATATATCTCTTCAGGCAAGGGAAACAAAAGAAAAAATAAACAAATGGGAGTACATCAAACTTAAATTTTTTGCACAGCAAAGGAAGCCATCCACAAAACAAAAAGACTATCTACTTAATGGGAGAAGATATTTGCTAATGATACATCTGATAGGGGGTTAATATCTAAGACATATAAAGAACTCATACAACCTAACATTAAAGAAACAAAAACAATCCAATTAAAAAATGGGCAGAAGATTTGAGTAGAAATTTCTCCAAAGAGGACATACAGATGACCAATAGACACAAAAAGATTCTCGACGTCACTAATCATAAGAGAAATGCAAATTAAATCCATAATGAGATATCACCTCAAACCCATCAGAATGGCTATTATTAATAAATTAACAAACAACAATTGTTGGCGAGGATGTGGAGAAGAGGGAAGCCTCGCGCATTGTTGGTGGGATTGCAAATTGCTGCAGCTTCTATGGAAAACAGTTTTGAGTTTCATCACAAAATTAAAAAAAGAACTACCTTATGACCCAGCAATTCCACTTCTGGATATTTATCTGAAGAAATCCAAAACACTAATTTGAAAAGATATATGCACCCCTCTGTCGCTGCAGTGCTACTTAAAATAATCAAGATATAGAAGTAATCTAAGTGCTTGCCCATTAACGGATGGCATAATGCCGTCTGTTAACAGACAATTGGATATGAAAATTTGGTACAAATATATGCAATTGAATATTACTCACACATAAAAATTGAAATCTTACCATTTTTGACAACATAGATGTACCTAGAGGATATTATGCTAAGTTAAATAAGTTAGATAACTATGTATAGTGCCAAGTGAGTAATAGGCTAACGACTATGCTGTACCTGAAACTAATATAAAATAATATTGAATCTCAAGTAAAATTTTTAAAAAAGATTAATTGAAAAAAATTATTTAAACTAGTGTTAAGTGCTACAGAAAAAAGGATAACATGATAATGAGGGGCAAGGGGTGGCGGAGGAGCCAAGGGAATCAGGGGAAGTGGCAAGAGGGAGGCACACTTGAGCTGAAAGTAGACTGAACAGATGGAGCCAGGTCTGTGCACATGGTGAAAGAGCAGAGAGTATAAAGCTTCTAAAGAAGGAATGAGCTTGGCATGATGGAGAAACAGCAAGAAGGCCAAGGTGGCTGGAGCACAGGAAGCGAGAACTGGAGAGCAAATAAAGGTGGAGAGGTGGGCAAAAGCCAGGTCATGTAGGGTCTAGGAGATCATGGAAGGGGTCTAGGGACACCATGAGCTATGGCAGCTGGGGTCTCCTGACAGTATGGCTGAGATGAGCACTGGAGATGAAGTCTAATGACCTGAGTTCACGCCTGTTTCCACTTCTTACAGCGTGACCCTGGGCAAATCGCTTGATCTCCCTGAACCTATTTAGTGGCCAGTAAAGTGAAGATAATACATATTCCCTGCCATGCTAATTTCCAGAGTTATTTGGAAAACAAAGGATTTCACATCATGTGTGAACTTATTTACATTCTTAATGATTAGATAGAAGATGGGGAAGAAAATCTAGGTGGGGAAACAGTATAAGCAAAGGTCTAAATACAGCCACGGGCATGGCATAAGCAAGAAGCAGGGAGGGGCTGGGCCTGGCTAGAGCAGATGGTTCTGGAGGAGAAAAAGGGGTAGCAAGATGGAACTCAGGAGAGCACAGGGCTTTGGGCAGAGGGGTGTACTTAATCCTGAGGGCAAGGAGGCCTCCTTCATTAACTTCTAGGCAGCCCATACTCACAAGATGATGCTTGTAACCTGGGGACACTTTGGAAACCCTCTGCCATTCTCTGACTGCAGGCTGGCCAGGCACCTGGAAGGGGCTGGTGGCCTAGGGCAGACCTCATCTCTGAAGAGGGGCTCCCTTGGTAAAACACAGGCTCTTTTCTCCTTTCATTTGGATCACAGAGTTATTTCTGCAAAGATGCCCTGCTGGGGACCCCAGGTACCTGAGAACCAAGATGTCCCCACATAGAGCCCAGGACAGTACTAAGGAAAATAAGACTCGGGGTAATGTGTCTACTCTCTCCTAATTTTAAGGAGATGGTCACAAAACTCAGAGAGTGGAGACTAATGGGTGACAGATTTCAATTCAGTATCAGAAGAAATTACCAACAGGGACTGTGCAGTTAAAGAGAGTGAGCTCCTATCACAAGAGGTGACATTTGCTTTGGGCCTTAAAGACTAAGATATCAAAGAGATACATGCACTCCTGTGTTCACTGTAGGGTTATTCATAATAGCCAATACATGGAATCAACCTAAGGGTCCATCAACAGACGAACAAAGAAGATATGAGATATATACATATGCAGTGGAATATTATTCAGTCATGAGAAAGAAGAAAATCCTGCCATTTGGGAAAATATGGATGAAACTTGAAAGCATTATGCTAAGTGAAACAAGCCAGAAAGAGAAAGACAAATACTGTATGGTATTATTTATACGTGGAATCTTAAAAAAAAAAAAAGGTCAAACTTATAGAATCAGAGAGTGGAAAAGTGTTTGCCAGGGGCTGGTAGTTGGGGAAAATAGGGAGAAGTTGATAAAAGTGTACAAAATTTTAGTTATAAGATTAATAAGTTCTGAGGATCTAATGTAAAACATGATGACTATATTGATAACACTGTACTGTATATTTGAAATTTACTAAGAGTAAACTTAAATGTTCTCACACACATAAAAAAGATAAATGTGAGGTGATAGATGTGTCAATTAACAAGATGGGAAGAATCTTTTCACAATGTACATGTATATCAAATCACCATGTTGTACACTTTAAATATCTTACAATCTTATGTCAATTATACCTCAATAAAGCTGAAATTAAAAATACATACATACATACACACACACACATACATACAGGCCTTGACCTGGTCGAGCTCTTGAACTGGGGCTCCCCAAGTGTTAGCCTTGAGATTTCTGGTGATGGTCACCTGGGGAGGCCACTGATTATTGCAAATGCAAGTGCCTTTCAGGTGGAATGAGTGCAGAGGGTTGCATGTACAACCACCTGAACTGGTGGAGCTGTGATTACTAGAAAAGCTCAGTATTTTGTAAAGGGGGCAGATGCTATTGGGCTCTAGGTCATTTTGCCAAGATTTTAGATTTTTTTTTTATCAAGAAAGGCCAGAAAACCTAATTTTTTTAATGTGAAATATTCCAATTTTTTAACATTGGAAGATCGATTTTTTAATTAAACATTGGGGAGACATACGGAATGAATCTGCAGTGTCTGCAGTTTGGACCACTGCTTTAGGTAGACACCCCATTTTCCCTCTGAGATAAGCTCCTAGACTTAAAGGGAGTTCATGGAAGTGACCATATTCAGTCTCTTTGAGGCTCTGTCCTGATTTGCACTCAGCCCAGCTTCCTAGGACCTGGGAATGCTGCCACTGCCACCCCCCACCCCCACACCTGACATCTGGGGATCCCATACATTACCCCAGGTCCCAGCTCTGACCTGATGTTCTCATTGGGCACCTTCCCATATCTCTTGATGGCCAAACACTCATTCTTGTGGTTCAGCCAAGCATCCTTCTGGCAGGTACGGTCACAGTAATAGGCAAACTTGCACTGCCCACAGTGATGGAGCTTCTCCTGCCTCTTGAAGCATGTGTGGCACACAAAGTTAACGAGGCTGGAAATAAAGGGAGAAAACATGTGATTAAGGTGAGATGCAGAGCACCATGGAAAGGGACTACACTGGCCTTTGGTAGACCAGGGGTTAAGTACTGGCTCAGCGGGCCATACTTGTCTTTCTAAGCTTCAAACTTCCACTTTTCAAAATGAGGGGCTTGGGCTTCAAAATTCCTTTTTAGCTGTAACTATTCTTTTAGCAGATATTTTAAAGTGAACCAAATGGGAACACTATTGATCTCTGCATATAAGCCTTTTAATTTAATTTAGCAAGTATAGGTTTATTACCTATAGGTACTGGGATTACCACACGTTGTCAAAGGAACAGTTGAACTTGCAAGCACCATGCAGTGTGAGGAGCCCTATAATAAGGGGAGACAAGGTGTTCCTGGAACACATTGGAGAGGATACTTGAGGAACCCAGGAAGTCTCTCATTGGTCCCTTGTTAAAAGTCACAGGTCCTTGGTACCATGGCATGGGAGGGGCATTCTGTGTGACATGCCCTTTTCATTGTTGAAATATATTGTCCCTTTTCCCAAAGAATAAAAAGTTATAACTACCCACAATATGATGCAACATGAAACATGATATATTTTACACAAAATGAGATCTCCACACTATGACACATGTCATAGTTCTGTGCTTTGGAACATTAAGAATTATAAGGTGATTTCTGGTCAAGATGGCGGAAGGTAAATGCTGTGCTTGCCTCCTCTCACAACCACATCAAAATTACAACTAAACTACAGAAAAACTGTCATTGAGAATTTCCTGAAGTCTAGTTAAACAGAATTCCTACAACTAAGGACACACAGAAGAAGCTACCTCCTACAGAACACTGGCAGGAGAAATGAAGAAGCATAATGGACTGGTCCCACACCCGCATATGGCAGTTAAAAATTGGGAGTGCTATCTCAGCTGCGAGGTTTCCCCCCACTTCAGAGGAGCTAGGGATCCCAGCCCCACACCAGGTTCCCCAGACCAGGGTTCCAGTCCTAGGAAGAGAAGTCTCCACATCTGGTTGTGAAAACCAGCAGAGATTGTGGCAGAGTGAGATGAAGGGTGACTGGAATGCCTCTTAAAGGGCCCATGCATGAACTTACTCACTGACAAACTCAATCACTCTGAGCTCCAGTGCTCGGACAGGTGCTTGAAGAGCGCCAGGGACATATGGGGAGGAATTGAGTTGTCTGGCTTCAGGGTGAGGGCTGGAGAGGCAACTTTCTCCCAGACCGATGTGCTTGTAGAAACCATTGTTTCTTTGTTAAGCTCTTGCCCCTTCCGGCATGTAGATGCAAGCTGCCACCACATCTGAGTCACCATCAACCAGGCTAACACTGTTTGCCCACCCTGGTGATTCCCTGAGACCTCATCCCACCCAATTTGCAGGTCCACCTGAGCTGCTTCCAGTGGCTTTTCCATACAAATGGCCTGTCTTGGCTCATGCTACAGACTTTCCTAAAATCTCTCAAAGGTTCACAAAACCCAAACAAGCAGCAACTGGCCTCAGCGTGCCCTGTACCTCTTGCTAAGCAGCCTGGCACTAGCAGCACCAGCTTTGGTTTATGGGTTGGCCTCCCTAGGCACCTCTAACCCTAGTGCAGGTGGTGGCCATCTGTGGATTGCTCATGCCAGGTGGCCCTGGGAAGAGCATAGGCTGCAACTGAGAACTCGGCCTGTTGCAAGGGGCCTCCCAGGAGGCCTCAATATTGGTGTGCTGATGGCCAGCTTTGCCCCAAGCCAGAGCACCACCTGGGGCTGCATCCAAGGACAATCAGCCCAAAGAACAGACTGGATATGCACCAGAGCCCTGCTAAAGCAATTCCTGCTCCAGAGGTATAGCCCTTCCCTGGTAAGTCCTCACAATCAATCAGCCTGAGGGTCAACCCTTCTCACTGATGTGCAAACAGCAACCAAGGCTCAACTACATCAAGAGGGCACACGCAACCTATACAAGGAACATACTT